AAACCTGAAATTCTGTTTACACATCACATATTTGTCAAACAAATCGGTTTTTAATTGCTTGGGAAATTGAGTATTTACCTTTTACATGCTTTTTTCTTTTCCTAGAATATTGAAATATGCAGATTTTTCTTCCTTCTCTGATTTTACTTATATTTTAGTGTCAGCTTCGTGTATTATTGGCACACACATAGGCATATTTAGTATAATTATTAATAGCCAAACATTTCACAGTGGAAAGCGTTAGGGTCAGTGTTTTTGGTGAGACCTACCAACTCTTCACTGAGTTTATTTTATAATTGATTAGTCTACCATCCCCTGATGATCCAGGGTTATTTCTTAATCATGGACACTTCTTTTCAAAATAATGACCAATTCTCTAAATTGGTCTCTTCCCCAAAATCAGTATTTTTGCTCTAGTCAGTGTTTTTTACTCAGATCTTTGTGAGTATTACTGTATTTATCCTGTTAGGAACCAATCTTGCTTATCTCATCATAAATATGTATTTTGAGTGTTTGCCAGTCATCTTTGTTTTAACCTTCAGCCCAGTGGAACTGGAATTTTATGAGCATCATATGACCTAAGTCAGGGCAGCTGACTGTAGTTATTTAGTCAGTCTGGAATCCAGAGGATGTGTTGGTTTGAAAGGTGCATTCTCTTTTGTCAATTCTAACTTGACCTTCGAGACACAGCTCAAATGTTAAACATGTTGTTGATCCTTCTCCTGCTCGTCTCCGTGCTCCCCCTGGGCTCACAGAACACTAGCACATGAGAGAACTCTTCCTAACTAGTGAAAACATGTCGACATGTTTAGGCATCTGTTTTTTAAAATAACCTGAGAGCTTTTGGAGAGCAGAGAATTTTTATTTATCAAGCATCTATTATTTGCCAATTACTAGAGAACATCGGGATATTTATTCCCTCATTACAGATCAGTTTTACACAGTTAGCAGGTGAAGGAATTAGGATGCAAAGCTGGCTGTGCTGTCAGTTCACCTGAAGCAGGATCACATCTGCAACCTGGGTGTGTGCCCTGACCGGGAATCGAATCTGCAACCTTTTGGTGTATGGGATGACACTCCAGCCCACTGGGCCACCCAGCCAAGGCCCACCAGCTTCATTTTTAAGGAGAGTCTTTCTCAGAGATGTATGACTTTTCCTGTCTTCTTATATTCATTTGTTCATTCGTTTTTATTTAACACATATTTATGAGATAACTACAATAGTTCCCCTTTATTCAGCGGGGGTATAAGACCCCCCAGTGAATGCCTGAAACTGGATAGTATTGAACCTTATATATACTATGTTGTTGTTGTTTTTTAAATCCTCACTTGAGGATACTTTTCTATTTATCTTCAGATAGAGTGAGAGGGACGAGGCAGGGAGGGGAGAAAGAGAGAAACATCAACGTGAGAGGGACACATCGACTGGTTTCCTCCTACATGACCCTGACCAGGGCTGGGGATGAACCACAACCAAGGTATGTACCCTTGACTGGAATCAAAACTTTGACTCATTGATCCATGGGCCGAGGCTCTAACTGTTGAGCCAAACTGTCCAGGGCATATACCATGTTTTTTTCATATTCATACATACCTATGATAAAGTTTAATTTATAAATTAGGCACAGTAAGAGATTGACAGCAGTAACTGATAATAAACTAGAGCAATTATAACAATATGTTATAATAAAACTTATGTGAATGTGGTCTCTCTCAAAGTATCTCTTTGTACTGTATGTACAGCATGAATACACTGGAGAAAGGGATGATTCATGTCCCAGGTGGGATAGAGCAGGATAGTGGGCTATTTCATCATGCTGTTTGGAATGGCACACAATATAAAATCCTATGAATTGTTAATTTCTGGAATTTCTTATTGGATATTTCAGATGGTGGTTTACCATGGATAACTGAAACCATGAAAAGCAAAACCACAAATAAGGGGTAGTCCCACATATACCTTGCTTTGTCCTATTGCAGAGCATAAGACAGACAAAAATTCCTGTCATCATGTAATTTATATTTTCACCAAGGAGACAGACACAAAAATATAAAATGCATACATGGCTTATGTAGTATACTACAAGGTAACAAATGTTAAGGAAAAATGGAAAGTAGAGCATAATAAAGAAGTGGGGGGGGGGGCATGGTTAGGGAACAGGATTAAATAAGTAGGTCAGGTTCAGGCTCCTAGAGAAACTGAAATTTGTACAAAGATCTGAAGAAAGTATATTCTAGGCAAAGGGAACAGCTAGAGAGCAAATGCCCTAAGTTGGAAGTGTGTCTGGCATGTACTAGAATCATCAAATCTGCAAGTGTGTCTAGAGTGGAATGAAGGAGGGGAATATTAGCTAATGAGGGGAGAGAATGTTTCTGTAATGTAGACAGCCTGTCCCTTCTTTATCAGAGTCTATACAAGGAACACCTGGCACCTCCAAACTGATCACTTGGATTTGGTCTTTTGCTCAGTAGTCCTGGTCCATATTTGCCTTAGAATAGTCCTGCAAAAACCATTGGCACCCTCTGCATTTAGAACATTGCTTCAGCCAGTTTCAATCATATTCACTCATATGAACCCACTCACAGATCGTTATTTCTATAGTGCTTCTGGGCAATCCATTCCTTTCTACTATGTTGGCCACAGTCAAGAGCAGCAATGCATCATGTGTCCTCAGGGTGTGTGTGTGTTGAATGAATAGATACATGAGTGTATTAGTGGATTAATGAATTAATGATTGGAGACATTAAATCTTATAACACAGATGGATACTCCCACCTGTAAATAAACTTGTATTCTGAATGTAGAAATAAGCTACATATTTGCTTATGTTGAATTAAGTATCTGGAATATGGTTGAGCATTAATTAAATGTTGATTCTTTTTAAATGAATTCATTTTCTATCCAAGTAAGAGAAATCAGGGAAATTTTTTAGATCTGTACCTTCAGAGATTTTCTCTGGCTCTTACTAAAAAATATTTTGTTTCACCTTGAGCAGAGTCACCAGTTAAAAAAATTTGTAAACCTAATCTCAAAAAAAAAAAGTTATTTACTTTTTAGTGATACAATTTTGTCTCCAGCATCCATAGTTATTTCATTACCTTGGTATAATCTTAAACTTCAAATGTCAACTACACAGTTATTCCCTTTGTTGACTTAACCTTGTTTACAGTGTAATTTGTTTCCTTAGCTCTTCTGTAACTCAGATTGTCTGTGGCATTTACTGTTGACATGGTAGATGTAAATCAAAGTCCATGGGTTTGTTTTAACCTTTTCTTTCTATGGTATGAAATGACTCCTGTACTACTCTGAGTGCAGTAGATTGATCCTAGCATAGGGCTTAAAAACTTCTGTAAATATATATTTTAAACTTCACTGTAAAAGTAATAGGGTTAGGAAACATGAGCTGATATGTATTTTAAATTTCATAGGAAAAGTCAATTGGGTGCATTTTATTTATTCTGGATCATCATTTGCTTGATAAAATTTTAAAATCTGAGGCAAGCAAATACATTTATAGATCTGTGGGGGTCAAAGTATCAGTAAAGACTCATTACTCATTTTACTAGGAAATTAGATAACACATGTTAATTGTCATATCAACTTAAATAATTTTTTATTTTTTATTTTTAACAACTATTATAGTTATTTTAACAAAAAAAAATATTTCAAATATAATTTCAGAGTTCTTACTTCATAATGTCCTATGCCATTGTTTCTTCATTAACTAATAATTTATGCCGTCTTAAGAGCACATAGCTCTAGTCAATATTTATCCAATAAAAGCAGAGTGAAATGGAATATTTTTAAATTGTTTTTTAATATTGTATAAAATGCCCAAAATGTTTGATTGTTTTATCATAAAACATGTGATTGAGTTCTTTAAATTAGGTTACTAGATGTGTATGGGTTAAAAAAAAAATTTCTTATGCCAAGTAAGTTACAGAAATTTTGTTTTTACTAACAAAAGCATTTGATTTATATCTATCTTTCTGAGGAATTTGCATGTTAATTATTATTTTTAAATGCAATAAAAATATATGCTGCAAGTATATATTGAATGTGTGTTCAATCACATTCTGAAAAGGATATTTTTATACCTTTAAAGATTCTATAAAACATTCTTTTAAAATGGCCTCATAATGATTTTAATAACTATTCTTGTTATCATTCCATAGCTTTACATAAATAAAAGTTTTGTAAGCCATAGTACAGTAAAATTTATTTCTCTCATGTTTAAAGTGATTTGATGTTCTTTGGTATGTTATAAAAGTAATAGTCAAAGAACATAGCCTGTTTCTTTAGTCTTAAAAATGTATATGGAGATAATGCATTTTGTGTGTGTGACCATCCTCACTATTAGTAAATAACAGTAAGTGCCAAAACGTGTGAAAATAGGACAAAGTTCCCAAGAGAAGAAAACAGGAAATGTAAGCATCTAGCTGCTTTTTCTTATCTTCTCTCTGATATAATTACTTAAAGGCCCAGTATATCTTCCTCATGGCTCTTGTCTCAAAATTTGGGGAATTTTCTAACAGTTGTACTTTTCATCCTGAGAGGTCTCTACCCAAACAACTGTCAACACTTCTGTTCTCTGTGCTAGAGTAACAACAACTACGAAGGTGAGTCCATATACTCGGCGTGTGCTTCTCCTGGCTCACCTAGGATGCTGTCACACCTTGCCTGATCCCTGTTTTGGCCAGTTACCCATTAGGAGCTGACTAGCTAGCGAACAACAATGAAGTGTACAGTCAGGAAGTAGAACAATACTAATGGCCACACGAGATTGATTTCAAGAGCTTTGCCTCACTGGCACTAATCAACAAGCCTTCAAATATTTAAAGAACAAATCAACTGAAGTAGAACCCTTACTATTATGTATCACTGTTGAAATGAATTGAGAATTAAACGTTTTAGATTGTTGAAATGTGCTCATTTCAACATTGCATTTTCTTTTAAAAAAAAAAAAAAAAAGGCTTTTCTTTTTTGTTTTTTCTCATAGGTTTAGGCTTCAGTATTGCAGGAGGTGTGGGGAACCAGCACATTCCTGGAGACAACAGCATCTACGTAACTAAAATTATAGATGGCGGTGCTGCACAGAAAGATGGGAGGTTGCAAGTAGGAGACAGACTACTGATGGTGAGTGTGGCTTAAGCAAGACTATGTGTATATTTATAAAGCTCTTGTTTCTCAATGTACAAATCTTAGTGGGTTCAGGCTGTCATAACAAAATACCATAGACGAGGTGGCTTAAAAAACAGAAATAGTTTCTCGAAATTCAAAATCTAGATTCTGGCCCCTTGGGTTTCGAGTGAGGTCCCTCATCCAGGCTTGCAGATATCTGTCTTCTATGTGTTTTTTCATGTGGCATTTCCTCTGTGCTTGTGCTGAGATTCTCATTCATATTCATTCATTCTCATTCTCTCTCTCTCTCTCTCTCTCTCTCTCTCTCTCTCTCTCTCCTTCCGAGGCCACCAGTTCCATTGGATTAGAGCTCCACCCTTACCTCATTTAATTAATAACCTTAATTACCTCCTAAATACTCTATCTCCAAATACAGTGATATTAGCAGTCAGGACTTCAACAGGTGAAATTGTGGGAAGGGACACAATTCACTCATAGCAGTGATCATGGGCAGAAATGAAAAGAAGGGAGAGCAGATTTTGTGCTAAGCGATCTCAAAAGTGCACATACAATGTGTCTGACTTGTTGACATTTTAAAAACAGAAATCTAAATTATCACCAGTTTTCATAGATCGCAAGGCACAGAGATACACTTTGTTTTTCCAATGTAATCCATCTCCTGTTTGCCAGAGAGGCTGCTGAAACAGGACTGCCTAGAAAGACGGGCTATGCATAACAAAGGGAACAACTGTCTGGTTTATTGATATATACATTTCTAAGTCTCTGTGGTCCTTCAATCAGTGTAGATGCAGCCCTGACTTTCAAGAATTCATAAACTGAGTCCACATGTGTAAATGGATTCCTTCCTCCTCTCCCCTCAGACAACTTTATACCTATTATACTTGCCAGCTGCCCACATGCTTCAGGAGTCCTGGAAGTGATTGATATCAACATATGGCCACCCTTTCTAAGTCATGGAGTTATATGATAAACTAAGGTAACATAAGACAATTATAAGCAGTAAAACACTTTGGGTTTAACTTAATAAAATTGCTTTATCTCCCTTGACACTTCTATATCAAATCCAGAGGATAATAATCAAATACTGGAAATTAATAGAAAATAGCTCTCAAGAAAGATATCTAGTCTTATGTCTGCCCTTAGAAAATAGAGCCTCTAATGGATGTCTGCAAGGAGCCATTGTCTCCAACACTTTCATTAGAGGTGTTTGGGAAGGATCAATCTATACAGTCTCAGCAGAATAGTAATTTCTAGGACACTTGTAACTTTTGTAGTTGAACTTCCAAGTGCATTGTGCCTACTGTCCTGTTCTAGACAGCTTATCTTTAGTCTCACTCCAATTTCATTGTTGTCAATGACTTATGTATTGAATTATTTAGACAAGACCTTTATAATATTCTTTTTTAATTTTTTTTTCAGTGACTTGAGAGAGAGAGAGAGAGAGATGAGAAACACTGATAATTTGCCTCCCACATGTGCCCAGAATAGGATTGAAACTACAACCTGGGTATGTGCCCTGACCTGGATTTGAACCTACCACTTTTTAGTATACAGGCTGATGCTCCAACCAAATGAGCTTCACTGGCTAGGGCTGTAATATTTTTTATATTTATTTGGCTTTAACTATTTTCTATGTACTTTTCAAAGTGCTTTGCTATAATGTAACATATATTTCTCACAATGACCTATTTTATGTAAGCAAAAGGAAACTGAGGTATAAAGAGACTTATTAACTTGGCATGGCATACAGTTAACAATGGGCAGAACTAGGTTTCAAATCCAGGCAATCTGGCTTGCATTCATGCTTGCAACCACTAAGCATTTGTCAGTCAGTTCCTTCCTTCATTCAGTCATTCATTAATTCGTCTATTTAACAAGTAATATACTGACTACCTATGATTTCCCAGGCAATAGCCAGTACTCAGGAAACAACTCTGGTGAAAGAAAATGTATGGTCAAACTGGATGGGCAAAAAAATGTAGCATTAATGACTTTAGTCAAAGTTGCAACTAAGAGTTTTTAGCTTTTTTACCACCTGAGATTAGTATCATTTTATTTTTTTTAATCTACTTTATTGAGGTACGGTTGACATGTAAAAAACTGTACACAATTAATTAATACAACTCTATGAGTTTAGGGGTAAGTATATGCCCATGAAACTATCTCCACCATTAAGGCTATAAATATATTCATCATCTCCCAAAGTTTTTTCCCATCCCTATAATTATTACTACTATGACTATTATTGTTATTATTTGTGTGTATATATGCTAAGAACATTTAACAGATTTAACCTAAAAACATTTGTAGTACATAATACAGGCATTATGCTTAATAGTAGAACTAACATTTTTATTAGGACTTTCTAAATTTATTTGTTTGGTTGGTGTGTGTGTGTGTGTGTGTGTGTGCCTTTTATGTAAGAGCTGGTTCCTTTGATGTCTTTTTTTGTTTTTCAAATTTTTTAAATTGATTTTTTTAGAGAGAGAGATAGAAACATGGATGTGAGAAGGAAACATCAATTGGCTGCTTCCTGCATGCTCCCTACTGGGGGTCAAGCCTGCAATCCAGGCATGTGCCCTGACCGGCATCAAACCAGGACCTTTCAGTCCATGAGACTATGCTCACTCCACTGAGCCACACTGGCCCCGCCGAAGCTGTGTCATTTAAACCAAAGTGTTTTGGGGCTGAAAGACCTAACAAATTCATTTCAAGAATATAAATGTTATTGTTTGTTGATTTAGGAATAAAATAAGCTGAGATATCCATCTTCTACATAGTGCTAAATTGAAATTAAGAGGACAGTTTATTTCTAAAGCAATGACTGCCATAGATAGTTACTGTTGTGACCCATGACTAAATGTTCTTCTATAAGAGTTTGGTTGTAGACATCTCTTCTGATATTTCTTCCATCACTGCTTTGTAATATCATTCTAGATGGTGTGTGCTGATTTCTCAGAGTTCTGTTTAAATTTCTAGCTTTATTTTCAAATGCTTATAAAAACCTGAAGTCTAAATAATGCTGTCAAAGGATTTTTTAGGCATCGTGCTATTATTTTATTTGCCATTGTCTTGATATTCATTGTAGATACAATGATTTCTAAAATAACTGTGACATAATCCTTAACTGTTTTGAGTATGAAAATAAAGAATAGCTTTAAAAAATGAAACTTCAACAATAATAGGTCTCTTCTCTCTTATGTAAGGAAAACATAATTATTACTTTCAAGGCAACTGTCAAGCTGAATTTGAAAATGAAAGAAAATGATTCATTTTATAATATTCTAAAAGAAAAATTACCGTGAGGGAGAGAATTAAGGGAAAAAAAAACAATGGAAGCTACCCCAAAAGACCAATTATCTTGCTTCACTCCAAAAATATGTATTAATGCTCTCCCTCTGTATTTTCTTTCCACCTCTTCTTCCCTTTACTACTCTCCATTCATGTCTTTTTTATCTTCCACATCTTCTACTTTCCTCCCCCAAAGGGGGACTTCTTAGGAAATATCCCCCCTATATTATTCATTAATAGTTCTGCAAGTAAACTGATCTAAAATGAAACTCCATTAATTTCTTGAGACTTCTGTGGCTGGATCACCACACTTCAGAACGTCTCCCCATATCTGCCCTGCAGTGAAAGCACCGTCCTTATTATTTTTAGAATCTTAGTATTCACCCTTCCAGTTTCTGAACTAAAATAGCTGAATTTTACCATATATACTTACTGGGTACTTCTTTTTCCTTAAGTACATCTTATATCTCAGAAATAAAAAGTTTCTATATTAAATATTATCTTGTTCCAACTCTCTTTGGTACATCATAATCCCACAGAAAAATAAGTAGTCTCTCACCTCCACTAGAACACTTAATGGATGGAGAACGTAATGCCTCCTATTGGCTATTCATTAGACACTAACCATCATTAACATCATGTAATTCCTTAAAATTACAAAAAATATATTTACCTATACATTTATTTCTTTATAGCTCTGTTTCCTTAAATGGTGAATACTAATCTCTCTCCCACATTTGTTTGAAAAATTGCATCTTGCTACTTTTTAATTTCTGTCTTTTAAGATGTTTTACACATTTTTCTCTCACTCTTGCAGTGAGTTTTACACACACCTATTTAACTTCTGTAAGTAGATTACCCATTTAACAAAACATTTGTTTGATTATGTCATTCCCCCATCTGACCTTTACATTATTTTACTATAAGGAAAATTTATCCTGTCTATCACCTACTCAATAAGCCTCTTAGTGTTTCAAGTAAGATGACATGAATGTTAGACCTCTTGGATGTTTCATGAGTCACCCAGATGTTCTCTTTATCAAAACTATAACTTTTAAAAATGTCCCTGCTGCTTAGCACTAATCATTCACTGAAATTTTGTGTTGCTTATTTGACCAGATGACAATAGCATCTTATTTTTGTGGACTGTACCAGTAGCTTCATGTTGTAATCTCAGACAGAACAGATTGCCTCCTGGCCCTGAACTTCGTGGGACAGATCAGAAGTTAACAGAAATAACTTTCACGTTCTTTCATATATTTTTATACACTGGTTTTTATTACGCCCTTCCAAGGAGAAGCATAGAGCTACATGTATTACAGAAATGTGATCATCATCTTTTTCTATATAATACCAGAAACTTTGAATCCAGGGTTGTCTGATTGCCATTTAGGGATAACATGCAGTGTTAATTGTCAAAGCCCCTTGTCACATTGTGATTTAAACTTTATAATCTCAGTCTCCTTTTTCTATAGCCTGTTTGACAGAAAGAAAGAAAGAAAGAAAGAAAGAAAGAAAGAAAGAAAGAAAGAAAGAAAGAAAGAAAGAAAGAAAGAAAGAAAGAAAGAAAGAAAGAGCTGGTCAGTGAGAGAGAAATTTTACAGAGAATAAGTCTATATGGTTGTGTTTCTTTTATTCTTCTTAATGGGAAGCAATAGTCAAGGGAAAGGATAACATGGACATGGAATCAGAATGGAAAGAAA